TTTCTAGAATTTCCCAATCCATATGCCTGAAATTAAAATCACCCATAATTATGACTTCATTAACAGCTGAAATCTTAATCTCATTGTAAAGTTTCTCACTAATTTCATCAGTATCATTTGATGGTCTGTAACAAATTCCCACTAAAAGCCTTTTCCCTTTATATCCATTAATAGAAACCCAAATGAATCCAATCTCTTTGCTATTATCTTTGATAACTTTAACGGGATGTAACTCACATTTACATATAAAGCCACTCCTCCTCCCCTCTTTAATACTCTATCCATATTAACTAGCCTGTAACCCTGTATTTCAAAAAAAAATCAAAATCATCTATGTTTAACCATGTTTCAGTTATTCCCATTATATCAAAACCTCCATTACTACCAGTGCTATAAAGTAATCTATTTTATTTCTTATACTTCTAGCATTAAAAATAGTAACAATTAAGACTATCCTTATAACTACTTCATTTCCTACACTAAACCTTTCTCTTATTATTTTTGCATTCAGTTTTTCCTGGCCCTCACCACTGTCTAGCCCTAGTTTAAAACTTCCCTTACAGTTGAGTTAATAGCCTTAGCAAACAAGACAGCCCCTACTCTATTTAAATGTAAACCATCCATTGCAAAAAAGCTCTCTTCTCCCACTAAACTGATCCCACAAGTCCAACCAGCCAAACTGCTCATCCTTACATACTAAACTAAGCCTAGCATTTAGCCCTAATGACCTACTTATAACTTCATCCCCACAGTTAATTCTGGGCAGTATCAATGACAAAATTAAGTTATGGTCATTTTCTTTAAGTGCCTTTATCAACCCTTTATGCTTATTAATTAGCTCCTCTGACCTTCCTTTCCCTACATCATTAGCCCTACATGTACTATAAAAACTGCATCTTTACTAGCCCCTTTGTTATATAAAAACAAGAATGCTTGCCAAGTTTTATACAAAAAAAGATCTATCTACACATATTCTTTGTGAAAAGGGAACCTAAAAGCAAAAATATTAACATGAAATACAAGAAAAAGGAGAAGATTCTGAGCATAAATGATGTTTTTTTTTAAACACCAAACATTTACACGTGAAGATCTAAAATTTGTTTACCTTGTCCACTTGTGAAACTTCTGTTCCTCAACAGCTGAATTAAACAAGCTTGGTTTCATGGATTCCTCTTCCTTCTGTGGAACAAATACACTCTCTATTTTCTTACATGATACAGATTCACTTCTCTCTAGGGATCGAAGCTGAGTAGTTTGCTTAGATGTTTCTGTTTTATTTGAGGCTATAGATGCAACTTCTTCCTGGGAAATAACTTTATGATCAGTTATGAAACAATCAAAGTTTTGTTCAGGTACTTTTACTTGTTTTTGATCATTCCTGAATTCATTTTTAATATCTTTGTCTACTACTGATTCCTGTTCACTACTACTAGCACATGTTACTAAATTTTCACATCTCTGTTGAATACTTTTGGTATCAGTTACTGAGGTTTGACCATATAATAACACATTCTGGAGGCTACTTCTAGACACACCAACTGAGGTTTGACCAAATACTGACACATTCTTAATGCTACTGCTGGAAGTATCTACTAAGGTTTGACCAGATGGTGAAACATTCTGGAGGCTACTGCTAGAAATATCTGCTAATGTCTGACCAACTTGTGAAACTTTCTGGAAGTTATTGCTAGAGGTGTCTATTAAGGCTTGATCAACTAGAGATAATTTTTGAAGGTTACTGCTAGAAGTATCTACAAAAACTGGACCAGATAGTGACACATTCTGCAGGCTACTGTTTGTAGAATTTAGCAAGGGTTTACCAGATAGTGATACATCTTGATGATCCACTATATGAAACAAGAAACTGTCTGAAACACAAGAAGCCTGATTTAAGGAAGTTCCTGGTACAAAAAAAGTGTTTCCTAAGGTCTTAGGCTGTGCATTTTTGGAGTCTTGGGATCCAGAGTCACAGTTTGAATTAAGAGAGAGTGTCCTAGTGTCTGCACAAAATTCTTGAACCACAGGTAGACGTTCATTACATGTTTCACTAGCAGAAAAGCCAGGTGACATTTCATTTTCTGAACCTGGGGGTCTCAAGCTCAAAACCTACAGGAATATTAAAATTTAAGAAAATCTCTAAAAAGATTCCTAACATAAAGTATTAACGATTCATAGAAATGGTTGACACAGTAAATAAAACAAAATTAAGAAAAAACTGAAAAATAAGGCACAGTCTTTTTCAGGTGTCTGACAGAACTCTTCTTAAGACCATACACTATATCTCAAAGATGCTATATACTTCTTGAGTTTTAACTTTTCAACTGGCTTAAACATACATACCCTAAGATATTTTCCACAGCTTAATAGGCAACTTATAAACAATAATAAACAAGCATATACTAATTATAGACTTAAGTTTACAAATTATAAAGGTAGGGCTGGTGTGGATTACAAATTGGGGGACTTTTTTTTGTTTTTTTTGCAAGTGGAGCTAACGAGCAATATAAATGCATAATAAAGCCTGAAAGACCTAAAGGAATGTATCCCACCGCCAAACAAAATGATGGCTTCTGACAAAAGAATTTGTCCAGTTTAAGTGATACTCAAAAATTAAAGAATTGTTCACAAATACATGTATTTGTGAACCATAATCAAATAACATACTTAAAATTACAATATGGGACTGGCTCTGGCTATACTTATTTGTTACTGACAAACATGAAAAATCATGACAAAGATTGATCACTACTAAGGATAAAAATGTAAAAGTCAAATAAATAGCAAGACCACAAGAGTTCAAAACCAAGGCAGTATAGTCAGGAAGTAATATATTAACAGAATATGGCTAAAAAGCCAGTCCTATGGAAGGAAAATGGAATCTCAGAAGCTCATAAACAAGAGTCAAATGCAGTGATTCAAAAATGTATCAAGTTGTACATGATAATCGAAAACATATTCCTAACCAGCAGTTTTGAATTAAAAGTCAACCAAGTCAAGAGGGTCAACAAAACTATTATAGGTCTGATTCTTGAAAAAGATATATACAACCACAGTTTCAAACTATTCAAACAACAACTGAATTGTGGAAAATGAAGAAGATGAGGGAGGCAAAAAATAACTTAACTGTAAAGGGGACATATTCCAAAAAGAAGATCCCCATTTTTAGAAAAAATATACAACAGATGATAATTAAAGAAAACAGCCTCAACAGAACTTAAAGCACTTTCTGCAAAGACCTAAGGAAGATACATACATGTAAAATTTACAGTATCAAGACCAAATAGCTCACAGAGGAAAAGCAGCATTCCTGACTAGGCACTCTTGAGTGCAATCAGCAGCATACAAAAAAATCTTTTTCTACCATACCAAAATTGTAAGCAAACCAACATACATATATACTATGAAGCAAGCAAAGGGCATAAGACAAATTGAAAACATATCAAGTTCACACAATCTTAAATCACGACAAGCTGAAAACAAGAAACATTCTTATGACCCTTTTGGAGTCAAAGTTGAGTTTCAGCATAAAAAAAGGAAAATGATGGTATTTTGTTCTTTAGCAAAGCCAGTGAGAAAATCTACTTCCCAAAAGTCAACAGTTTGGTAACAGATAGTTTCAAACACCTCCTGTTCTGAGAGAGATCTCTCCTCAGGGCACACAGAGTGCAAGTTGCTTTTAACATTAACACTTCACTGGCAGTGTGCTATTTTAACAAAATCTCCTGCTTAGAAACACAGTCTAAAAGAGAGTTTTTTCAAAGACTTGATACTCTGGTCAACCTTTATGATTTGACATCTACTATGAACATACATCTCTAAACTTTTAAAATGCTCAAGTTGTTTTATTGGGTTGCAAAAAAAACAAACAATTAGTGAATGAGTGTTTGAAACATGAGAAGGATTTTCTTTAGATTATGTAGCTAATGCAAAATATCTTATTTTTGTATGTGATATTTGATGAATCTGCAGATTGAAAAAGTCATTGTGATATATTGTGAGAAACAATTAAAAATGCTTAACTTTGTTATAGATTCTAATTACAAATTTTTTGTTTTCCTACATTTTTGTAAATCTTTAAGAGTTTTTATACCATAGAACTGCAAATTTTATCTTTGGTTTGATTTAGAAAACAGCACATACAATTTCACTGTGTCTATAATCATTGGCATAAAATCATTTTTTTTTCACCACACCAAAACTGTAAGCAAGTCAGCGTTTTTAAAAATAGGCAATTACACCATGCCATGACAATTAAAGCTGTGAAACATTGACTGGTTAAATACATTAAAACTATACTTGTATTGAAGTTATAAAGTATAAATTAGCACTACTCTGTTTAAAACTATTTATTCTTCCCTTTTAGGGAATTTTAAGTGCTGTATGATGCTCAAAAAACTTCACAAAATTCTCAAATTCTGTTTTGATTCAGAGCATGCTAAAAACAATCTCATATCAAAATTTGTGACTTTTTTTCTATAAAATTAAGTAAATAAAACTTTTTTATTGAATCATTTTCAACCCTAAACTTCTCTTTTTAATTTTTTTTAAATATATAGAAGAATGACTAAGTTTATTATATGTAATTTTGTTTTCATTCAATGATGTAATTTTGTAGCATGGACATTGCTTAAACAGGTTTTTTTTCATTTAATCTTAAGGTAACATGTTGTACACTAATATATATATCTTAAAAGTGATTTTCAACTAATTCATTTACAAAAGAGAAATTTATAGTAAAGATATTTTTCCAAATTAATCTTTGTTATTAAAACTAACTCTATTATTTACTTTTGAAGTAATTTTACCTTTTTGATTATCACACTTTTGATAACATTTCATTTTAATAGTGCAATTTTGTAAATAATTATTAAAGATCCTAATACAATTCTTATTACTGTTTATTTTATTTATCTAATTTGTAAACTTCAAAATAAATGCTTCATCCTTTTCATCCAATAAAAACAGGTTTTTAACTAATTGTATTGTGATTGGAAAATGTATATTATAGTTATAAGATGTTCTATATGAAAAATTAAAACCATTAACATGTCAATTATAAGTGCTTAACCAAATGTATTTTTCTGTATTATTTGATTATCTATTTTACTTTATCTGATTTTCATAACATGAAAGGAATGTATAGTTACAAACTGATGACTGAGTTACAGTTTTAATGATAATCTTTATATCTTTATAACAGTTCAGCAAACAAGCTATTAAGACATTAATGAACTACTGTTCAAAATGTTTATTTTTTTACATGCATTATGCACCTTGATATATTTCATCATGAATTTCTCATATATAACCTTTAAATTTGTTTCAACAAAACCAGTGCCACTGGCCATTACTGATTATGTTTCATATTCATACATATGAATGTACTCTGAAAAAAATGTTAAACTTCATTTTCTCATTTCCAACTTGAGCCTCATATGCTAAAAACCTACAAAATGTATGAAGTTTTTAACCTGAACACAGTAGTCCTATGTTTGGTGGTCATTACTGTTGACTAACTACTTCTCTCTAGCCTATCAGTTTAAAATTAACTATGATTTTGCACAAGTACCCTTTATCTAGGTTTGTACAACAAATTTCTAAACAAAAAAAAGTTTGTAATGAGTTTATTGTTTCAATGATCTTTCTTAATACAATTTCTAGGTAACATATTTTTTCTGAATAAAATTTTTTAGTTGCATTAATTATTTACTTCACTACACACACACACAACTAAAATAGGAAATGCCTTCTCATAGCACTGCATTTACACAAGCAATTACATGCACTAATGGATTTAATAAATGTAATTGAATCAAGAAGTATCTTATTTCCATACAAAAAAGAAAAAATTTAATTCAAGTAAGTATCTTTGTCACTGTTCTCTACCTGATATATTTTTGTGATTTTATCAGTTGAGCTTTAAGAATTACATTTACTTTGAAAGAAATTATTTTTTGAAACCTGTATGGAATTTTCACACACTGCAATAGAACAAAATTGCAGCCAGATTAATATTCCACTGAAAAACTGTCTGATGTAGAACAATCATTATAAAACAAATACCAATCAAAGACAATTTTCTTCCAGCTCATAAAGAAATGTTTAAAACCATTCATATGTGCTTAATCAAAGATTCTACTGACAACTAAAAATTGCTTATCCTTTCAAACAAGGTTAGATTATTCACCTCCTCAGGTGTATTATAAAATGAGAAACACAGTAACTTTAAAGAATAAAGATACTCACATGATTATGTTTTTGTTTTGCAAGTTATCTAATTTTCTATCGTACATAATTTACAAGTGTTATGAATTAAGTGTGTAAGTATTACTTCAAGTGCAGGAGGCTTTCAAAGCCCAGGTGGATTTCACTTACAAATATTGGCAATGAGAAATAAGTAACTGAGATTAAAAATAATTTATTTTCTAGATACTTTTATTTACAGTTGATCATCTGCAATTCAAAAATGATGACAAATTTGCCACATGGCTGATATATTTTTTACCCTAGTGCTCAACCAGTATTTCATATGCTTAATTTGTATTTTTCCAACCATATCCTGCCTAATCCACCCCCATATATTATAACATATTTAGCTATTGCATAAATATTTTAACCCTTATTTTAAAGTTGTTTGTAAACTTCCTTTTTCCTATGCTCCAAACTGAAATCCTTGCTACTCTAGCTCTCGTCATTATGTAATTTATGTGTATCACTAATCCACTACTATTTTGAAAATAAAATCACAAATACTTAAAATGATTCACATTTTTTATCTCTTTCAAAACCAATTCCTTTTGATCCATTTTTCCTACTTTTCAGAAATAGTATCTTTTTTATTTTTAACATTTAGTGTAAATTCTTTTGTCTCTAAATGTAGTGCTTTATCCAGCAAGAAAAAGGGCAGGGAAAGATGGCACGTACGTGGCTTATTAACTTTAGGGCATGTGTCATACTTTACTTTATATGCATGCTTTTGAATAATATGTCAAAGTTAATTTCGTTATTTGCATAGAAATAAACATATGCTTTTCTAAGTAATAAAAATAAACATTTACAACTTTATTTTATTGTTGATAATTTTTTATTAATCAGCAAGTCATTAT